GTTCCATTTCCCATATGTTTTTGCTGTTTAAAAACGATTCTTTGAAGACGAGCAAATTTTAGACGTATAATTTAATGTCGGAAAGATGGTTCACTCATGCAACACCTACATTATTCAACAGCGGTACCTGTGTACCACAAATGAGCTCATGCTTTTTGCTGACAATGCTCGATGATAGTATTGAGGGCATTTTCGAGACACTGAAGAAATGCGCATTGATTTCGAAAAGCGCTGGCGGTATTGGCTTAAATGTGCATTGCATCCGAGCAACTGGCTCAGTGATCGCTGGGGTAAGCTTCCTTTTACGGCTCCCTTACGCTTGTAGCGGATAGCCGCTAATTTTTTCTTGACACTCAAAAAAAGCAAAAAAAAGGTCATATTATACGGGGAATTCCTGGAAGGAAAGTAGCGTAGTACTGCTGCGTTCATCTTTGTGTGCGTGAGACTTCTCATAGCAGCAAAAGTTTAAATATGAATGATTTTTGATTGCGTTTTGGCAGATTTCGCTGCCCTCTAAAATCTACGCCGGTTAATTACTCTTTGCGCTTTTCTTATAAGACGCCCGTTTTGAGCAAAATTATGTCAGGCAAGTGCCTCGTATCTGCCTTCCTTTACTTCCGGCTATCCACCATAATCCATCGCTGAAGTCGAGTAGATTTCACTGGAACACTTTCGATATGGCGCGCTTTTGGCTTTACAGTAGCTCTCAAAGTGCAGTTCCGGATATTTATTTAACTCAAAAAGGCTTTTATTTTTGAATCGTCATATATATAAAATAGCGAAACCGTTGGAGTCAATGTATTCCATATTAGTGACATAAGATGCTTCCGTAGGACCGGCGCCTGTTATACCAAGCCTTTCGATTCTGGGCAACATGCGTCCAGTTAGCATTTTCTCCACTTGCTCTGTTTATCGTCCCGACTTCTTCTGAGACTGCCGGAGTTGGTAAGAGAAGCAACATGACCTGGACATCGGATTTTACCTTCTTTCGTGGTCGCAGTGATGACCTGTATGCCGTGCGTATGTCTGAGAGCTAGGTGGCATGCAGGATATCACTGCGATCGCGTAAGCATTCTTCATTTAATCGCTCTCCTCATCATAGCCAGCATTATGACATGTAACTTTCGTGAGTGGTCACGCCTCAAGTCCTGATGCCTTTGCCTTCAAAGCATTAGTATTGAAGGTGCGCACGATAGCTGGGGTTCGACAGTTTGAGGTTTTCGATGCTGTGAAGTTTTTTCTGTGTTTAGTCTGTCGCTGGAAATGATGGGACACGTTTAGTTCCTGTCTAAGGTAAACGTGACTATTAGCTTTTCCCAAATTAACACAGTCTATCCACAATCTTGTCATGGGCATGCCGACACTTTGCATCATCCTTGTTTTCACTGCATTAATTTTAAGTATTTTTCTTACTCCGTGGGACCTTGCAGCATCCTTTTTATCTCGCGAGTATCTTCAGACCACCTTTCTACTTCCGATATATCATCTCGAGGCAAGCCGTGAAAGGCGTTGGTGATATGGGATCGTTTTGCGCCATTCCCTTTTCGGCCGTTGTAAAAATTGGAGTGGAAAAAGTGTTAGGAATTGCAAACAGCTTGTGTTCACTTCATTAAACAATTCCCATAGAGTTCTCATCATTTGCTCCATCTACGAGGGTTTGTGACGTAGCGTTCAGCTCCCTGCTTTCGTATGCTTTTTCGTAATCGACGAATAAGTGACAGAGTGGTAATTAATGCTTCTTTGCGCATTCCAGCGGCTGGTTTGGAGAAGAAACGTGGACTGTCATTTTATAATTGTTTCGGGAATTCAGATTTCTCTCGTGACATGTTGCTCCTCATGATGCATTGCATAGT